ACTAAACGCCAAAGGCGCACGGAACGCTGTTCCCTTCCCACCAAAGGTGGTCCCTATTTTTCTACTTGCATTTTTTTACCTGCTTTCGAACTGCTAGGTTGGCAGAAGCTGAGACAAGTCACGGGAGCTCACCCCATTACGCGGCACTAGGGATTCGAAATGCTGAACTGCCGATCTTTCGATCGACAAGCTCAGCGTCTTAGCCACTGAGCCACTGCATCCTGTAATTGAGCCTGGCAGTTCGGTTCTTAAGTTGTGATTCTGCTCGTTGGAAGCCAGCTGGGAAAGTCGCAAAGGGTGTTCAGATGACCCCACATGACACTGCAAAAGTTGTAAATTCACACTGGTTTCCAAGCACCCGAATTTCGATCAATGTGACAATGGTGAGGATGCTGCAATAGTTCTATGTAGGAGGAGTGGTTGTAAGTCACATTTTTTCCAGTGCCACTGTAACTTTGAACAGTCACTAAATGTAACGGTTGTAAATGGAGGACTGCCTGTATATTGTGCATGGCTATAATGACTTAAGAAAATATTGATTTGAAGCCTCCGTCACTTGCGCAGAACCCAGATTGATGGGTCCACAAAGGCATCCTGAATTTATAACTCATGTCAGGAAACACTGGGCTTGTTCAGAAAGTCCTCAATTTACAACCATTCATTTAGTGACCGTTCAAAGTTACAACAGCACTGAAAAAAGTGACTTATGACCAGTTTTCATACTTACGACCCTTGCAGCGTCCCCATGATCAAAATGGAGAAGCTTGGCAATTTATTTACTCAATAGTAGTAACTGTGAGAGGGATCTTGGAGTCCTAGTGGACAACCATTTAGTTATGAGCCAGCCATGTGTAGCAGCTGCCAAAAAAGCCAACACAGTCCTAGGCTGAGCCTTGGTGGCGCAGCAGACTAAAGTGCTGTTAAGTAGCACCAGCCTGCAATTACTGCAAGTTCGAATCTCACCAGGCTCAAGGTTGACTCAGCCTTCCATCCTTCCGAGGTAGGTAAAATGAGGACCCGGATTGTGGGGGCAGTAAGCTGACTTTCTATAAAAAAGAACACCGCTTGGGGGGAGGGGGCAAAAGCCCTACTAAGCAGGTATATACAAAAGTATGAAGGCTATTGCTTAACGCATTGTAAGCCGCCCTGAGTCTCCGGAGAAAGGCGGCATATAAATTGAACTAATAAATAAATAAATAAATAAATAAATAAATAAATAAATAAATAAATAAATAAATGGATAGAATCAAGATCACGTGAAGTGTTAATACCACTTTATAACGCCTTGGTAAGGCCACACTTGGAATATTGCATTCAGTTTTGGTCGCCACGATGTAAAAAAAATGTTGAGACTCTAGAAAGAGTGCAAAGAGCAACCAAGATGATGAGGGGACTGGAGGCTAAAACATTTGAAGAACAGTTGCAGAAACTGGGTATGTCTACTTTGATGAAAAGAAGGACTAGTGGGGACATGATAACAGTCTTCCAGTATCTCAGGGTCTACCACAAAGAAGAGGGAGTCAAGCTATTCTTCAAAGCACCTGAGGGCAGGACAAGAAGCAATGGGTGGAAACTCATCAAGGAGAAAAGCAATTTAGAACTAAGGAGAAATTTCCTGACAGAACAATTAATAAGTGGAACAACTTGCCTCCAGAAGTTGCGAATGCCCCAACACTGGAAGTTTTTAAGAAGATGTTGGATAACCATTTGTCTGAAGTGGTGTAGGGTTTCCTGCCTGGGCAGGGGGTTGACCTCCAAGCTCCCTTCCAACTCTGTTATTCTATTCTATTCTATTTATGCCCTCGAGTCATGTAATCATCTTTTGCGACCTTCCGACAAGCAAAGTCAATCCGAAAGCCGGATTCACTTTACAGCGAAGTTATTCACTTAACAACCGCAGCGATTCGTTTAACAACAGTGGCAAGGTACGTTGTAAAACTCACTTAACAACAGAAATGTGGGTCTCCATTGTGGTCGTACATTGAGGATTACCTGCATCAGAATTCAAAAATGCATTCGAAACGTTGGTGAACGCACCCCATTATGATGATTTTTGGCACAAGTCTCTCCAAATGGGAAACACCACCCCCCTCCACATGCCAGCTTATCTGTTGAGAAGTTCAAGGTTTTCTCTTCGAACTATCTAACAATCGATAGAGGCCACATATTTCCCACAGTCTGCAAAGCTGCCTTTGAAAAATGAAAGAAAGGAAGAAAAGAGGCTTTTTTGTCTGCTCTGGAGCAATTTTTCATCACAAAAAGAAAATAAAAAATGAGCAGACAGGTTTACACAAAAGGACTCTCGGTTTTATTTTTCATCGGGACGCTAAAGTGCTATAATATCAAGAAGTGTAAAAACCAGGATGCCTTCGTGCGGTGGTTGTTTTTTTTTTTTTTACTTTGTGTAAAGTTAGCTAATTTCGTCTTCTAACCAATTGCTGAGAAAAAAATATAACCGTTTAGGATCAATCCAGAGGTGAAATCCAGCAGGTTCTGGAGAACTGGTAGAGGAAATTTTGAGCAGTTCGGAGAACCGGCAAATACCACCACTGGCTGGCCCCAAAGTGGGGTGGAAATGGAGATTTCGCAATATCCTTCCCTCAGGAGTGGGGTGGGAATGGAGATTTTGCAGTATCCTTCCCCAGCCACGCCCACCAAGCCACGCCAAGCCACAGAACTGGTAGTAAAAAATATTTGGATTTCACCACTGGATCAATCTCTCTGAAAGATTCCCTTTTTGGGGATCCTTTTATTATATTAGATTTATATCCCACTTTTATTTTGTACCGTGAAGACAGCATACATAATAATATTAGCTCCTGTTTTCTCTACAACAGAAACCCCAGTGGTGGGGTTTCACATTTTGTTACTACCGGTTTGCTGCACTTGCACCCAGTTCGCGCATGGGCCTGCCTTCCCCGCATACCTACCTGCCCACCCGCGATTTCCGCTACTGGTTCGCCCAAACCAGTCCAAACCGGCTGAATACCACCTCTGAGTAACCCTGTGAGGTGAGTTGGGCTGAGAGAGAGAGCAACTTCTCCAAATTCAGCTTTCGGGCCTAAAGTGGAACTAGAACTCACTGTCTCCTGGTTTCTAATCCAGCACCCTCACCATGGCGTCAAACTGGGTTTTTCTGGTTCTTCTCTCTTTTAGCTAAAAACAAGTTGTGTCTAGTATGACGTTCTGTGTAATTTGCTCTCCCTTATGCAGAATTTGAGACTCTAGAAAGAGTGCAGAGGAGAACAACTAAGATGATGAGGGGGCTGGAGGCTAAAACATATGAAGAACGGTTGCTGGAATTAGGTGCGTCTAGTTTGGTGAAAAGAAGAACTAAGGGTGACATGGTAGCAGTGTTCCAATATCTCAGAGGCTGCCACAAAGAATAATCTATTCTCCAAAGCACCTGAGGGCAGGACAAGAAGCAATGGATGGAAACTAATCAAGGAGAGAACCAACCTGGAACTAAGGAGAAATTTCCTGACAGAACAATTAACCAGTGGAACAACTTGCCTCCAGAAGTTGTGGATACTCCAACACTGGAGGTTTTTAAGAAGAGATTGGACAACCATTTGTCTGAAATCGTGTAGGGTCGTCTTGGCGAACCTGTGGCACACCTGCCAGAAGTGGCATGCAGAGCCATTTTTCCGGACCCGCGAGCCATTGCCAAGCTCACCTGAGCGCGCGCCCCAGCTGGTGTTCAGGCATCCGGTGTGCATGCGTGCAATTCAGGAGACCCAGCTGGTCTTCAGAGCTCTCCTGTGCATGTGCGGGTGTTGGTGAATGCATGCAAGATGACTGGTGCGCGCAGACAGCATTTATGCCCATGCAGTGCGCACACAAAAGCTGTGCGCATTTGCATATGGTACGGTTGCACGCGCAGCACATGGGAGGAGCCGCACATTATCGCGGATGGTATGCGAGCGCATGCAGCGTGTGGAGTGCGTTCTTGTTCGGCACTCAGTAAGTAAAAGGTTCACCACCCCTGGTATAGGGTCTCCTGCTTGAGCAGGGGGTTGGACTAGAAGACCTCCAAAGTCCCTTGCAACTTTGTTATTTTGTTATTCATCCCCTGACATCCACTGAGTGCCTTAGCTCTTGAATTCCACCATACAAGTATTCCTCAACATACGGCCATAATGGGGCCTGCCCATTATGGTCCTGTTGTGGCCTGTACGCGGCCTGTGCAGCTAGTAGCTGATTCAGACAGCGAGGAGGCTGATGTGGTGCTGCGCCAGCAGCCTGTGCAGCTGGCACTTGAGTCGGACAATGAGGAGGCTGGAGAAGATGTGGTGCCAGAGGCGGGGATTCAGCCAGGGCCTTCAGAACCTCCAGAAGCTCCCTTAAGTGAGGGAGGAGCCTCTTCTTGATGCACGGGCGAGCAGAGCTGCCAAAAGGCAGGAGTGGCTCCTCAGGAGGAGGTCTCCTCGAGAGTAAGGCTTGGGGCTAATTGGCCACTCCCTTAGCCTATTTCAGGAGGAACGCCGACTGAAGCAATTTGCAGGGAACAACTTCGTTCACATACCTTTGTGTCTTGCCTTGCTTATCTTATCAGCTTCCTGCAAATTGCTTCTGGGCATTCTGCCAACCATAGTAAGCTTTCAGTTATTATTCTTTGAATTCTTGGCGGCTGTTAATGCAATTAATTAACAGCCGTTGTTGTAAAAGACTGGTTTATTTAGTAAACTAAGGTTTGAACGGACTTTGTGTGTGCTGCATTCTTTGGGGTCCGTAGCTGGGGCAGAACAGGTCCTATGTCGTCATGGTCATAAACTGAGACAGCCATTTGATCAACTCAAATTCCTCCTACAACCGGTCCTTGCACTTAACGACTGTTGCAGCATCCTCATGGTTATGCCATCAAAATTAGAGTGGTTGACAATTTTTCTTGTATTATATAATAACTGCCTCACTTAGCAACTGAAATTCTGATTCCAGTTGTGGTCGTAAGTCAAGTACCGCCCGTATTAATTTTCCCCAATAACATTACATCTGTTTACCTGTTTATTGGAAGACATGTTGGTTAGTGAACTGAGGCTGCTGGTATCCGTGACCACCATCGCTGAAGGGAACCGTGATGTGTGAGAATACTGAGGAGGTTCTTGCTTGTGCGCGTACACTGTGGAAAAAAGGCCAACAGTCATTCTTTTGTGTTTGTGTGTGTGTGTGTGTGAAAAAGAATGATAGAGACAAAGTCAGAGGGATGAAAAGAATGACAATGATTTTAAACTACAGCCATAAATTGCTCTCCCACCAAATATTTTATTCCAAACAGAACCAAATTGCTATCCCTTCAAGCAACTGTTGAAAGCCTCAACATATGTAATTAGAATAAAACAGGGGTGAAATCTAAAATTTGTTACTACCATTCTGTGGGCATGGCTTGGTGGAGGGGGTAATGTGACTGAGTGGGCGTGGCCAATTTTTTTTACTTTTAAAACCATTTTTTACATGTAAAACCATGTAAAAACCATGTAAAAATGCTTTCAAAAGGCTCTAACGATCCCAGCCGTTTAAAAGAAAAAAAAGGCTCTGATGATCGCGCGGCTCAGCTGGGCATGGGGGGGGGGGGCAGGGATTTTTGCTACCGGTTCTCCGAACTGCCCGCCGCCATCGCTACCTACTCGCCCGAGCCGGTCCAAACCGGGAGCATTTTACCCCGGAATAAAACATAAATGGGACTGTGAACGTTGATTTCCTAATCCAAGATTCTCCAAACTTGGCAACTTTAAAACTTATGGACTTCAACTTCCAGAATTCCTCAGCCAGAATTCTGGGAGTTGAAGTCCACAAAGTCGTAAAGTTGCCAAATTTGGAGACCCCCTGCTCTAATCCATTAAATGCTGGATATCCTACATAGGATTTTTTCCTTCCTTTTCAGCTAGAGATTTCTACCTGGGCAGGGAGCGGACTATGTCCCTTGCAGTTCTAGAACTCTGTAATTTTAAATCCAACCTCAGAGGCCTTCATGCTAATAAAAGTGCTAAACGGGAGTCAGGCTCAAATCAGGAATAAAACATATAAAGCATGAAGGCTAAAACATATGAAGAACAGTTGCAGGAATTTGATATCTCTAGTTTAATGAAAAGAAGGACTAGGGGAGACATGATGGCAGTCTTCCAATATCTCAGGGGCTTCCACAAAGAAGAGGGAGTCAAGCTATTCTCCAAAGCACCTGAAGGCAGGACAAGAAGCAAAGGGTGGAAACTAATCAAGGAGAGAAGCAACCTGGAACTAAGGAGAAATTTCCTGACCATTAGAACAATTAACCAGTGGAACAACTTGCCTCCAGAAATTGTAAACACTCCAACACTGGAAGTTTTTAAGAAGAGATTAGATAACCATTTGTCTGAAGTGGTGTAGGGTTTCCTGCCTAAGTACGGGGTTGGATTAGAAGACCTCCAAAGTCCCTTCCAACTCATATTATTCTGTGATTCTGAAGACATCACATACTCTCCAACAATCCAGATTGGTGTCCTTGATATTGCCACACTCCTTTGCAACCGACCTCTGATGTTGGTTAGGCTTAGAAACAGTGATTGGTCTGAAACAGTTTTTTTGTAAACTTGTAAACTGCTACTTCCTGCCATGTTTATCTCCCCATATTCTTGCCCCACTACTAGGATTTAACTTATGCTGTTTAATTTTACCTACATGACTCCCTAAAACATCACGGATAACATCATGGATATCTAAAAGTTCTCAATAATATTTTGCCAATGGCAAAATTCTTTGCTTTTCTTGATAAAGAAAAAAATTATGAGGAACTAAACATTGCAAATTCTGGTTCCAATAATGGTAGAATGCTCTTCGCTTACAGTCTTTTTCTTACGAATATATCTGTTTGAAAAAACAAACTCAACACTACCTGTATATGAGAAAAAGGGCTATTGATAGAATAACAGAGATGGAAGGGACCTAAGAGGTCTTCTAGTCCAACCCCTCCCTGCTCAGGCAGAAGACCTTATACTAGTGATGGCGAACCTTTTCGGCACAGAGTGCCCAAACTGGAATGTGCATGCATGCGTGTGCATGTGTGCGCGCTGGAACACTGGAAACCAGTGGTGAAATGTAAAATTTGTTACTACCGGTTCTGTGGGCATGGCTTGGTGGGGGGTAATGTGACTGGGTGGGTGTGGCCAACTTTTTTCTTTTTTTTGCACTTTTAAAAACATTTTTTCTGCAACCTCTTCGGCCAAAGAAGTTGTTTAAAAAAGGCTTTTAAAAGGCTCTGACGATCCCAGCTGAGTTGCCTAATCGTCAGAGGCTTTTGTTTTCTTTTGAAAGCATTTGTTTTTTGCTTTTAAAAGAAAAAAAAAAGCCTCTGATTGTCGTGCGGCTTAGCTGGGATCGTCAGAGCCTTTTAAAAGCATTGTTTTTACAACCACTTCAGCCGAAGAGGTTGTAGAAAAAAATGCTTTTAAAAGTAAAAAAAAAAAAAAAAAGCCTCTGATGATAGCGCGGCTCAGCTGGGCATAATGTGGGGGGGGGGCAGGGATTTTTGCTACCGGTTCTCCAAACCACCCACCGCCATCGCTACTGGATTGGGCGATCCGGTCCGAACTGGGAGCATTTCACCCCTGCCGGAAACCGAAAGACCAGCTGGCTGCCGCACGCATGCCTGTTTTTTGGCCATTTTTGGCCATTTTTGGGGCCATTTTTCCGGCCGTTTCTTGGGCCTTTTTCCAGCGCTCCGGCACCTGCGAAGATCAGCTGGCCAGTGTGCATATGTGCACTGGAAACCAAAAGAGTAGCTGGCGACAGCACGCGTGCCCACGGGCTCTGCGTGCCACCTCTGGCACGCATGCCATAGGTTTGCCATCACGGCCTTAAACCATTTCAGACAAATAGTCATCAAATCTCTTCTTAAAAATCTCCACTGTTGGAGTACCCATGACTTCAGGAGGCAAGCACATTCAGGTACATGAGGATCACCTGTGCATGAAAAAAATAGATGAGGTTTGGGTTGCACAGTTGTGGCTACCTTCCTGATTGAGACAGCTTCTCCTAGCTTCCGCCTTTCTATTTTAGCTGTCACCCCAAAAGAATCTTACTGTGTGAATTCTGCAGCTGTGTCACCGCCGCCATGAACGGCTGTTGAGCCATTGGATTGGTCGACTGCTGCATGATTGACTGCTGGTGTGGGCTGTGCAGCTGTTGGGAGAACTGGACCGGTTGTAGGGCTACGCTGTTGATAACGGGGACGCTCTGGGCCTGAGAACTGTTTAGGCCTAAAAGACAGAGAGGCAATCAGTAAGGTGAGTAAGGAGGACACAAATAAATTGAAGGACAAAAACATCATAAATAAAAGAAACATTTAATTCATTGCAACAATGAGTCTAATGCACGTGTGTGTGCCGTGTCGTGTTTCCGGAAGGAGTAAACAAAGCCATTTGCGCGTGGCGCACTCTCTCAAAACAATTCTCCTGCGTCTCATAATCGCGTCTTGCCGCGCTGTACCAAGCCTTGACGAATCGTCATGTCAAATACAAATACGTCACATCACACGCAACAGATCGGATCAGCATCAATCGAATACGGAGACTTACAGATTACCGTATTTTTTGGAGTATAAGACGCACTTTTTTCCCCCTTAAAAGGGGGTGAAAATTTAGGTGCGTTTTATACACCAAATGTAGCCCTGCCCACCCACTGGCCCCCCTCTTTGGCCTCTGCCTCACAGCAGTTACCTCCTTGCAAGCAAACAACAAGAAAAAACAGCTCCTTTCAGCTTCAGCACAGCCTAATTAGCACAAGTTGATTGGATTGGCCTCCCGACTCTCAGCTGATTTGCTCTCAGCTGTTTTGCATGGGCCTCTGCTGCTTGCTGCAAAGAGGTAAATTGCTGGAGCAGATTTTTGTTTCCTTGTGCTAATCAAGCTATGCTGAAAACGAAACTGAAAGTAAAGCAGGCTGTTTGCTGTTTGCTGCAACGAGGCAAAATTGCTCAAAGGTAGAGGCAGATTTCTTTTTCTTCTTTTCCTCACTAAAAAAGGTAGGTGTGTCTTATACTCTGAAAAATACGGTAGTCTTCAAATATTGAAAAGGAGGACATGTAGGAGGGCACTTTTCAAGAGAGGACAGAACTTACAAAAGAAGGACTGTCCTCCCTAAAGGACGATTGGTCACCTTACAATCAGAGGCATTTGATTACAAAGCTCCAAAGTCTTCAGATTTCCCCTGTAACACCCACAGCCTCTCTACAATTTCCAAGATGAAATTTCTCAACTTGAATAGTCTGGAACCTGATTTTCCAGGGCATTTATTTTTTTAATTGGAGTGTGATTGTCTTTTTGTTTCTATCAGTTAAAGATAGGTTAAAACAATTTAAAACCAAATTAAATAATATTGGCCCACGACAATTAAAATCCCAATGAATTTAAAACCAGTTAAAATTTCAATTTAAAATTTAAAAAAGGGGAGAAAAATTAGGCCAGGCCGGCTTGCTGGAATAAGAGGGTCTTAAGAGCACAGCGGAAGGTGCGCAGATCTGGGATCCTCCGTATCTCCGGGGGGAGCTCGTTCCAGATAGTGGATGCCCCCACAGAGAAGGCCCTACCCCTGGGGGCCGCCAGTCGACATTGCTTGGCTGACGGCACCCGGAGGAGCCTCTCTCTATGAGAGCATACCGGCCGGTGGGAGGCTATTTGTGGATGTAGGCGGTCCCGTAAATGAAGGCCATGGAAAAGATATTCAAATTTATTTATTTATTTATTATTTATTTATTTATTAATCAAATTTCTATACCGCCCTACTCCCGAAGGACTCAGGGCGGTGAACAGCCAAGATAAAATGTTTGGTTGCTTCTGGTTAAAGATAATTAAAAGACAATCTCGCACGCATTGTTTTTGAATAAATCCTTCCATTCCCCACCATTCAGTCTGAACCGAAGAAGCTTCTTGGATGAGAAGCGAAACATCTTCAAGGGGAAAAAAATAAGAAAGCCCAACAGCGTTTTGAAAAGCACCTTTAGTACTACTTTTTAAATTACTATTATTGGAATGACATGATTGAAGCTCTGCCCTTTTTTGCAAAAAAAAAGGGGGGGGATAGGGCTTTGATCCCCGAGATGTAGGCCACCATTTTGATTTTTTTGACTTCTCCTCTTGCAGAGATCCTCAACCCTCAAGTTGTTTTGGGATGAGGCACAAAAAGTATTGTCTCCCTCCCTCCCTCCCTTCTCTTCTTTCCTCCTTCCTTCCTTCCTTCCTTCCTTCCTTCCTTCCTTCCTTCCTTCCTTCCTTTTTCTTCTTTCCTTCTTCCTTCCTTCCTTCCTTCCTTCCTTCCTTTTTCTTTTTTCCTTCTTCCTTCCCTCTTTCTTTCTTTCTTTCTTTCTTTTTTCTCCTTCCTTCCTTTTCTCTCTCTCTTCCTTTCTTCCTCCCTCCCTCCCTCCCTCCCTCTCTCCCCTCCCCTCTTTGGATCTCATCACTGATTCATTTTTTTAATCTCAATTTCCCTCTTTTCTCACAGTACACCAAAATCAATATTTCTCTCTTAATATTTACTGAGCAACTGGAGACTGACACCAATGGAAACCAATGCCAGCGACAATTGCAGGAAGAAAAAAGGAAGAGATAGTAAATATTCTGCAAAGTTTCTCAGACAGGATCCTGCCCTTTTGGACTCTGTAAAGCTCCTTGCTTCCTGATGGTGCTTTACAAGGAAAGAGATAATCATGAATAATTCTAAGAACAAGAAGACGTTTGTCTAACTCATAAAGCACTTACTTTGTGTGATAGCCATGACTCCTGATAAAGGTGTCATAATGAGGTTTTGGGATTGTTGTGGGGTGTGATGGGAAAAGCTGTGGATATTGGTGAGGGTACTGACTGGGGGGAGCCCACCGCCAGAAACTGTAATCTGTCAAGAGAAGAAAGAACAAACAAGTCAGAATTCAAGAATGGACCATCAACAGTGCAATATTATCAACCCACAGTAACAAAGTGCCAAAGCAGAGCCTATAATGGAGATTTCGCTGATTTCCTGGCTGCGACAAATGAAGTAACAAGTTATATTTGCAACTTAGATATATCTTCGTAATCTTCCTGTTAAGATTTCAGTTTTTATATTCTGTGTTTTCTCTTTTACCCGTGTTCCTTTTTACTGAAATATGATGTGAATGTGCCATACAGTAAATAAATAAATAAAAAACAATATTATCCATCTTGTGCCACTCTCATTAATGCAGAGTAGCAAGATCCAAACTTATTTTAATCAGTAAGTGTTTGTTTGATTTATTCATCCAAAATATTTGGAGCGTGCCCATGGTCCTCAGATCATACAGACAACTGTGGAGTGTCATATTTGCCCTATTTACAGGTAGTCCTCGACTTACAACGGTTCATTTAGTGACTGTTCACAGTTACAGCACTGAAAAAAGTGACTTGTGGCTATTTTTCATGTTTACGACCATTGCAGCATCCTCATGGTCACGTGATCAAAATCCAGATGCCTGGCAACCGATTCATATTTATGATGAGTTAATGGGAGAAGCCAAATTCATTTAGCAACCATGAGATTCCCTTAACGACCATGGTGATTCGTTTAATGACCACAGCAATAAAAAGGTCCTAAAATTGGGTACGCCTTAATTAAGAACTGTTTTGCTTGGTGGCTGAAGTTCTGGTCCCAATTGTAAGTCAAAGGTTACCTGTAGATCAGGGGCTCCAGACTTGGCAACTTTGTGGACTTCAGCTTCCAGAATTCCCCAGTCTGCATGGTTGTAAGTCAAAGGCTACCTGTAGATCACGGACTCCAAAATTGGCAACCTTGAGACTTGTGGACTTCAACTCCCAGAATTCCCCAGGCAGCAATGATGGCTGAGGAATTCTGGGAGTTGAAGTCCACAAGTCTTATATTCGGAGATCCCTACTGTAGATGAGAAAGTTGGACCATAAGAAAGGCTGAGCCCCAAAGAATTGAGGCCTTTTGAACTCTAGTGCTGGAGAAGACTCCTGTGAGTCCCCTTGGACTGGAAGGCGATCAAACCGGTCAGTGCTAGAAGAGATCAACCCTGACTGCTCTTTAGAAGGCCAGATCCTGAAGATGAAACTCAAATACTTTGGCCACCTAATGAGAAGGAAGGGCTCACTGGAGAAGAGCCAAATGCTGGGAAAGATTGAGGGCAAAAGAAGAAGGGGACGACAGAGAACGAGGTGGCTGGATGGAGTCACTGAAGCAGTCGGCGTGAGCTTAAATGGACTCCAGAGGATGGTGGAGGACAGGAAGACCTGGAGGAAGGTTGTCCATGGGGTTGTGATGGGTCGGACACAACTTCGGACTAACAACAACAACTGTAGATGAAGGAAGCCTTCCAAACACAGCTTGCATTTTGCTGAAACCCACCATAGCCTCCTCCAACCCCTGAGATACTTTGCTAACCCTGATTCGAAATTCCTTTAACTTCACAACTCCTACAAAGGTTTCACTTGAGAAAGGAAAAAAAAAAAAAGACTGTCTTGAAAATATGCCTCACATTTCATTTCAAGGGGGTGGCAGGAATCTGTCTGGAGGCCCAATTGACCCTGGCTTCAAGAGTCAACAAATGACTTTCTGGATGGAAGACCAGGCTGTCTCAGTCAAGAACTATGCATCCCCAACCAGGGAGAGAGAGAGAGAGAGAGAAAGGAAGGCCATAAAAACCATCTAGTGTGACTTGAATCAGTCAAGCTAGGCCAAGAAAAATAACCCCACCAGATGAATTGCTCAAATATTCTAAATCTGCTGCCATCGAGGCCTGGCAGAGCCCAAACAACGAGGAGAAAACAGATACATAATTATAGGGAGTCCTGGACTTACAACCATTGGTTTAGTGACCGTTCGAAGTTACAACGGCACTGAAAAAAAGTGACTTATGACCAGTTTTCACACTTGGGAGTCCGTTGCAGCATCCCCATGGTCACGTGATCAAGTGGTAACTGACGTGTGTTTAAAATAGTTGCGTTGTCCCTGGGTCATGTGATATCCATTTGCGACCTTCCCAGCAGGCTTCACAGCAAGGAAAGTCAATGTATATTTAATTATTCCTGTATTAACCGCAGCTAGAATTGTATTTGCACAATATTGGAAAAGTGGAGAGATTCCCATTGAAGAGAAGGTGATAAGGAAAATATTAGAATGTGCAGAAATGAACAGATTAACATTAGCAATTAAGGAGAAAGAGCAAACGGAATATTATATGATATGGGAAGTATTTTATCAATGGTTGGAGAATAAAAAAGGAGTTTGGAAAAGAAAAAGGCTAGAGAATAAGTAGAAAATATATTACCCCTGTTTCCCCAAAAATAAGAACCTGTCTTATATTTTTTTGAACCCCGAAATAAGCTCTTGGCCTTATTTTTGGGGAGGTCTTATTATTTTGGGGCGCATAGAGCAAGATGGGGCTCCTCTTGCCATCTCACCTGATTTCCAGCTCTGCATTTAAATATTGGGGAGGGCTTATTTTCAGGGGGAGGCTTATTTTAGCGCATGCACTCAAAAGCCCATTTGGGCTTATTATCAGGGGATGTTTTATTTTTGGGGAAACAGGGTAAGATAGAGATATAAATAAGATGAAAATTGTTAGTATATGTATGATGAGAATAATGGTGTTTAAAGTTAATATGTATCATCACTAGAAGATATTAAGAAGAAAATGGAGAGTTTTTGCAATGTTTAAATGTTTAACATATTATAATACTAAAGCTTAGACTAGAGAAAGATGTGGCAAATGGGGAACGATGTTGCACAAGATGCTTGTACCCAGACGACACACTGCGTAAGGAAAGTTGGAATGTTTATCTTTGTAATTGAAAAATAAAAAACTTTTTTATAAAAAAAAAAACACCAAGGAAAGTCAATGGGAGAAGCCAGATTCGCTTAACGGCCACATGATTCATTTAACAAACGCAGTGATTCGTTTATCAACCATGGCAAAAAACGGTTGTAAAAGGGGGCACGACTCACTTAACTGCCTTGCTTAGCAATGGAAAGTTTGGGCTCGGTTGTGGTGGCAAGTCAAGGACTACCTGTAGTACAAAGGTAGCTAAAAGAAAAGAAAAAAAAAGAGAGATAGACTTCAGACGAAATGATAGATGAACAATTGTATTTTGCCAAGTGTGTTCCCGGGAAAGGTTTTTAGGCATCAGAGCACTGACTGTTTTCATTGTTGATTCTAGCAGTCTGGCACTGTGGCATCTTCTTATTTTGAAAGTACATATTTTGCTCACACAGAGGACATCGGTCAAGGATGGGTCTCCGTTCAACTTGCCAACTGGCGGATGGGAAGATCAACAGTGGTGGGAAAACTGTTTTCTGGAGAGGCTGATGAGGCTTGGTGTCTAGTATTTGGTAACTCTATATGAGTGGTCTTTATGTCAACAGAAGTCCCTTCCGGTCCTCTAAAGCTATGTGTTTCTCAACTTTCACGACTTAAAGGCCTGTGGACTTCAACTCCCAGAATTTCCCCAGCCAGCTATGTTGAAGTTAATAGATCAATGATGGCTAACCTTTTTGCCATCGCATGCCAGGAAGGAGGTGGGGGTGGAGGTGCTCACACCCATAATTCTATATGCCCCGCCCTGCGCATGCGTGCGTGATCCCCCTCCCCCCCACTCCTGGCACACAATGGCCTGGTAGGCCCGTTTTTCTTTCTCACCTGGCTCCAGGTCCTCTCTATGCATCTGGGGAGGGCGAAAACAGCCTTCCCACCCCCTCGGAGGCCATCCAGAACCAGGAAACAGCTTGTTTCCCTACTTCTGGTGGGCCCAGAAGGCCTGAAAATCAGCTGGTCGGAGCTGAGCTGGCGTGCCAGGCGACATGGCTCCACGTGCCACCTGTGGCACGCGTGCCATAGGTTCGCCATCGCAGTCATAGATCTTCAAGAAATACAGCTGTACAGGTAGTCCTCAACTTACGACCACAGTTGAGCCCAGAATTTATGTTGCTAAAGTGAGAAAACTGCTAAGTGAGTTTTGCCCCATTTTACGACTTTTCTTGCCACATTTGTTAAGTGAATCTCCGCAGTTGTTAAATTAGTAACGCGGTTGTTAAGCGAATCTGGCTTTCCCCATTGACTTGGCATGTCAGAAGGTTGAAAAAAGATGATCACATGACCCCGGGTCATGTGCAACCGTCATAAATATGAACCAGTTGCCAAGTGTCCGAATTTTGATCACGTGACTGTGGGGAATGCTGCAACGGTCATCAGTGTGAAAAATGGTCATAAGTCACTTTTTTTCAGTGAGGTTGTATCTTTGAACAGAGATTAAACAAATGGTTGTAAATCATGGGCTACTTATACCTGGTAATCCTATATTCACATCAACCTCAAAGAAACTTCTAAGCAAGACTGAGGAGAATAGTTGAATAACCAGAGGACTAACAATATGATCTCCACAATTTACAAAGGGAGCTGGTTGCTTCATTAGGCCCACTGTGATACAGCTGTCCTCAATTCCTAGGAACCAAGTTCCTGATCTGTGGTCAGACATTCATATTTCACACTGTAAACTGCCCATAAAATATAAAGAGAATAAAAATGTTCCTCAGCACAGGACATTGTTCCTTCTAATCTTCCCTCAAGGAAGGAGACATTCCTCAGTTTAGCTAAGCCAGGCATGCATACATAATAAAATTTTAAATATAAATATTTGCAAAAAGCCACCATTAGGCTCCAGCTCATCTTGGAAAAACAATTAGGACAGAAAAAAAAAATTAATGCGGCAAGGGAGAGGAAATCACCTGACTGGGAAAAAATTTAAACCCTGTGATAAAAGACTTCAGATTCATTATGGCATTCACTGGAATAAAGGCCCCCAAGACATGCTAGGAATTAAACCCTGGAATAATTCATAGGCCAAATTCCAGTGCAAATTCTGATCTATTTACATTTTTTAAAAACCTGCTGTTGTATTAGGAATACATTTTAAACGATAACTTATGTTTTGCTACAGTGGTGGGATTCAAATAATTTAACAACCAGCTCTCTGCCCTAATGACCGGCTGGGTGGGCATGGCCATGGTGGGTGTGTCCAGGGGGTGTGACAGGCAGCACTTCCTCCTGCACCAATGGTGGGTTCCCCCTAGTTTGGCCCGGTTCACAAGAGCCAGTAGCAGTGACGATATGACGTCACCGAACCGGTTCTCTGTCTTTGGGAGCTGGGCCCTCCCGCCTGCCCCAGCGTTATGCAGACATTATATGCCTGCTTTTTTTGCCCAGCTGAGAGGTGCGGCAGAGCGGATTGCCGCACCTCAGCTGGGCAGATTCGCAACGCGCTTGCACGAAGTGCAAGTTTGGTGTTCTGCGAGTGAACTGAGCATGTGCGCGGCGATTGTGCACGAAGCGCACGACCAAAGAGGTGATCGCGCGCGAAGCACGCACACGAAAAGAACTGGTAGTAAAGCCGGTTAGAACCCACCCCTGTCCTGCACCCCCCTGGGAGCAGAAATGGGCCGTGGGGAAGCACACTGCACCCCCTCGGGGCCCATTTTAAGCCTAGTAGGCCTCCCTGCAGCCCCCTGGGAGCAAAAACGGGCTGCGGGGGGACTTCTGGAAGGGGCGGGGCGGGGCCAGCCAGCAATTTAACAACCGGCTTGGCTGAAGTGGTGCGAACCGGTTGAATCCCACCACTGTTTTGCTATCCCGATAGTACCACTATTTTGCTTAGAAGAAAGTCCAATTAATTTTACTTCTGAGATGAGTGTGGACAGGATGACGGTGTAAATTTAAGCAATGTGCACATTCGTAGCTGGCTTTGGGATCATAAATAAAAAGTGCCCGTGCCATTTTCTTCCAATTAAATCAGGGGATTTAATTGGGATTTAATTAACCTATGGGACCGCCTACTACCACCAATAGCCTCCCACCGGCCGGTACACTCTCATAGAGAGGGGCTCCTCTGGGTGCCGTCGGCCAAACAATGTCGGCCGGCGGCCCCTAGGGGGAGGGCCTTCTCTGTGGGGGCACCTACTATCTGGAACGAGCTCCCCCCCGGAGATATGGAGGATCCCGGACCTGCGCACCTTCCGCCGCGCGCTCAAGACATTTTTATTCCACCAGGCGGGCCTGGCCTAATCTTTTCCCTTTTTTTTTTTAATATGAAAATTTTAATCTGTTTTTAAATGATTGGGGTGTTTTAAATTTGTCTGGGCCAAATTGTTTAATTCGGTTTTATTCTGTTTTTAAATTTTGTATTTATATATTTTATCGTTTGGCTGTTCACCGCCCTGAGTCCTTCGGGAGTAGGGCGGTATATAAATCAAATAAAGATAAAGATGAAGAAGAAAGATAAAGGGGATGGATATTGTTGGAAAGATCCTTGCATTTCAAATACAAACAGGAAAAAGCAGAAACATCTGTTCACATTGGGGTTATGAAGAGGGAGAAATTGAGAAGTAAACTCTGGGATCCTTCTGGGCTTGATTTTTGTTTCTTTTTTAATCCTTTAATTTTATTATTAAGGCAACAACAAGGATATAAACAAATCAAAATATATACCCTCTTCTCCTGAAAATAGGAGGCGAGAGAAAGGGAGAAAGTTTGCCTGAAAAAGTGGGAAAAGAAGAAAACAACCAATAGAAGAGAATATTTTTACCTCAGGGTTGAACTGTAGGGTCTTTGGTGTTCTCTGAGCTTGGTGGTTTTCTTGCAGACATTTGATTATCAAGCTAGGTAACATTATCAGTGCTGAAGATGTTAGCTAGTTTAGTAATGAAACATCTACCCCACAGAAGAAAACAATTCATATTTTCATCTGCCCAATAATTAAATAGTAACTAAATAATAACTAAAAAGACAAAGATAATTTTTTTCTTGTTTCATTTCCTGTTTATGCAGTTCTTCAGGACAACCCTAATAAATTTGTCATTGTAAATTAGGTACCAAGCTGGGATGTCTCATAGCCAACAAAGTCTGTGAAACCAATTTTTCTATTATGGTATAATATTATATGGCTTGAACTGAAGAATTCACCCCAATATTGCAGCAAAGGCTAAGTTATCAATAGCACTATCCTGACAAAAGCATTTTTATCACTGTATCCTTCACTCCATTTGATGTCCATATTTGTAGAAGTAAAGGGGGGCGGGGGAATTAAAATAGAATAGAATAACAGAGTTGGAAGGGACCTTGGAGGTCTTCTAGTCCACCCCCCTGTTTCGGCAGGAAACCCTACACCACTTCAGACAAGTGGTAATCCAACCTCTTCTTAAAACCTTCCAGTGTTGGAGCATTCACAACTTCTGGAGGCAAGTTGTTCCACTGGTTAATTGTTGAAGCTTGCTAAATAAAATTATAAAATTTGAAGAGTTAAGTGGAATCTGGGATGACTTAATCCAGTTTTTGGTGGCCTGGTTTTTTTTTTTTTTTTTAATCATGCGGAATGTCATCAGCAGCGAAGAGTAAACACTGATCCACCCCATTGTGCCCATTTGAGAGGCATTCGATCAATACCCTGAGAACAGTTTTTATTGGCATGTTTCAATGCCTAAGCAGGGAATGGGAAGGTCAGAAGGCTATTTTCCCTGAAAGCACTCAGGCCTTTACCCTCCTCATGCCTACAAGCCTTTCATTGTTTAATGCAGGTCTTGGGTGGGGGGGAAGGAGAGTTTTAACATATAGGGGGGAAAAAAAAGAAAGTTCTGTTTGTTTTTCGCCTCCTAAAGTAACTTATCTTATCAGCACCTGAGGTACAATAGCCCAGGTGTGCTCACCATTTTACCGTCCGGGGACAGGAGGCTGTGGCTGTGACCTGGGTCCAAACTGGCCGGAGATACTGGCTGGAGAATGGACTGGCTGGTGGTGACCATCGAATTGTTACCATGATGGCTGATGGAAGTTGAAGACGTGACTTCGTTGCCACCTGGATGACTGTAGCGGATCCCTGCGAGAATGCAATCACAGAGAAGAAATCATAGCAATTTTAAAGCTAAATTAGGAAAAAAGGTTAGAAGGTCGTTTGTTTTTATTTGCTATTTATTTATATCCCGGTTTTATTTCTTTTATAAGTAACCCAAGGCAGCGAACACAGGTATCACACCATTCACGCATCGATATGTATAAATAATATAAAATAAAAAAACTTGGATGGAAAAAAAAAGGCAGCGAATACAATACTTTCTCCTCATATGTGCCCCACAACAACTCAGTGAGTTGGATTGGGCTGAGAGAGGGACACTAGCCCCAAGTCACCCAGCCGGCTTTCACACCTAAGGAGGAAACTAGAACTCACCATTTGATGGTGATTGGCTCAAAATCAACCAGCTGACTTTCATGCCTAAAACAGGAACTAGAACTCACCATCTCCTGGTGATTGGCTCAAAATCAACCAGCTGACTTTCATGCCTAAAACAGAACTAGAACTCACCATCTCCTGGTGATTGGCTCAAAATCAACCAGCTGACTTTCATGCCTAAGACAGGACTAGAACTCACCGTCTCCTCGTGATTGGCTCAAAATCAACCAGCCGACTTTCATGCCTAAAACAGGACTAGAACTCACCATCTCCTGGTGATTGGCTCAAAATCAACCAGCTGACTTTCATGCCTAAAACAGGACTAGAACTCACCATCTCCTGGTGATTGGCTCAAAATCAACCAGCTGACTTTCATGCCTAAAACAGGACTAGAACTCACCATCTCCTGGTGATTGGCTCAAAATCAACCAGCCGACTTTCATGCCTAAAACAGGACTAGAACTCACCATCTCCTGGTGATTGGCTCAAAATCAACCAGCTGACTTTCATGCCTAAGACAGACTAGAACTCACCATCTCCTGGTGATTGGCTCAAAATCAACCAGCCAACTTTCATGCCTAAGACAGGACTAGAACTCACCTTCTCCTGGTGATTGGCTCAAAGTCAACCAGTCGGATTTCATGCCTAAGGAGGAACTAGAACTCTCAGTCTCCTGGTGATTAGACCAAAGTCACCCAGCTGGGTTTTACGTCTAAAGCAGAATGAGAACTCACAGGTTGCTGGAGATAAGTCTCAATTTACGACCACAATTGAGTCCAAAATTTCTGTTGCTAAGCAAGAAAGTTGTTTAAAATGAGTTTTGCCCCATTTTACGGCCTTTCTTGCCATTGTTGTCAAGTGAATCATTGCAGTAGTTAAGTTAGTAAAATAGTTGTTAAATGAATCTGGCTTTTCCACTGCACAACCGATTCTTAGGTGGGAGGATCCAGCAGTTGGGATTCAATCCCCCAAATGGTAATTCCATTCTCTTCAAATCAAGATCTCCAAGGTCCGAATTCAATATATAACAATCAACACACCCAGGCACAAAGAGAGAAGGGAACAGTGTAGAATAGTAAGGACACTAGTGGAGTTACTTACATCATCATTTTTTAAAGAATGAGAGCTCTACTAACTGCCCCATTGCTCTCTTTAAATCTGACTAACACCAGACAAACAAACAGGCAGAAAACAATACTAATTAAGGAACCATCAAAGAGGAAACTTCAGCCCCACCAAAGTACTGCGTAATAACTTGCCCTGCTGGTTGGGTTGGGTTCGGTTCGGTTTCTGCTTAGGCGAAACCAGGCTCAAAAACAGTCACTGTGAGAGGGACATTGGAGTCCTAGTGGACGATCACTTAAATATGAGCCAGCAATGTGCGGCAGCAGCCAAAAAAGCTAATACAATCCTTGGTTGTATTAATAGAGGCATAGAATCAAAATCACGTGAAGTTTTATTACCACTTTATAAAACCTTGGTAAGAGCACACCTTGAATACTGCATCCAGTTTTGGTCACCACATTACAAAAAAGATGTTGAGACTTTGGAAAAAGTGCAGAGAAGAGCAACTAAGATGATTAAAGGTCTGGGTACTAAAACAGATGAAGAACAGTTGTAGGATTTAGGTTTGGCTAGTCTAGAGAAAAGAAGGACAAGGCGTGACACGGTAGCAGTATTCCAGTATTTGAGAGGCTGCTACAAAGAAGAGGGGGGCGGGGGGGGGTTTCAACTTATTTTCCAAAGCACCAGAAGGCAAGACAAGAAACAATGGGTGGAAACTAATCAAGGAGAGAAGCAACCTGGAATTAAGGAGAAACAGTGAGAACAGCTTGCCTAGAGGAAGTTGTGGATCCTTAATCAATTGAGGTTTTTAAGAAGAGACTGGGCAGCCACTTGTCTGAAATGGTATAGGGCAATGATGGTTAACCTTTTAGCCGTCGTGTGCCAAAAGCGGGGGGAGTGTAGGGGGGGTCGCGCGTGTGTGTGCCCACACCCATAATTCAATGTCCCCCACACCCCGCCCACCTGTGCATGTGGACGCGACCACCCTTTCGTGCTTCCCCCGCTATTGGCACACGACGGTAAAAAGGTTACCTGTGGGCCTGGTAGGCCTGTTTTTCGCCCTCCCCAGGCTCCAGAGGCTTTTTTGGAGGCTGGGGAGGGTGAAAACAGCTTTCACCACCTCCCTGGAGGCCCTCTGGAGGCCGGAGACAGCCAATTTCCCGACTTCTGGTAGGCCCAGAAGGCTCAAAAATCAGCTGGCATGCACGCTGGAGCTGACCTAGGGCAATGCTCATGTCCCCACAGATATGGCTCTGTGTGCCACCTGTGGCACATGTGCCATAGGTTCGCCATCACGGGTATTGAGCAGGAGGTTGGACTAGAAGACCTGTAAGGTAAGATAAGGTAAGGTAAGGTAAGGTAAGATCTAGTCTGGTCTGGTCTGGTCTTATGTGGTCTGGTATTCTGTTCTGTTCCGTTCCGTTCCGTTCCGTTCCGTTCCGTTCCGTTCCGTTCCGTTCCGTTCCATTCCATTCCATTCCATTCTATTCTATTCTATTCTATTCTATTCTATTCTATTCTATTCTATTCTATTCTATTCAATATAAATACTACACAAATACTGCATATAAATACTGCACACCGCATATTACCTCACACTGATTTATCTGTGTGTCTATTGATGGATAATTTGACTGAAAGCCAAGCTTTCAGTAATTTGTTAGATCAGAGGTGCCCAAGAATTTCCCCAGCCAACCAGCCAACTTCCTTGTTTTAAAATTCCAACTTTTAAATTTGCCACAGAGATCACAACTTTCATGTTTTGGGCAGAGTGAAATAAACATCAAATGTTTATTCCTTCTCGAGAAAAATACTCACCAAGATTAATTAATATTCCTTACTTGCTACATGAATAAAATCCCGTGGCTCCCAGTTGATTCCATCTTATATTTTTCAACATGCTTTTGGGGTATTCCTGTCTTTTTAGCGAGACTATCCTGCAAATGGGTTTTCTGAACTACTTATAATTTTATATTTCATCGTTGCTTATTTGTAATCATTGTAGGATTTTGCTTTCTCAGAATCAAGGTATATCGATATATCTGCCTAAATTAATTTCTTTCTTTCTCCTTCTGTAACTAATCCTCAAACCAGGGATTTTAGCATCAATGGCTGTCATTTGTCCTGGGCTCAAGGCATCCTACAGTGCAGTCTGAATGGCTAATTTAACTTTGTGGCACATTTGAACAGCCCTGTGAGTTTAGCTGATGCTTGGAAGGGACTGTTTATCTGGTGAATTTAACCTTTTGCATTATCTAAATAGGGCTTCTGTCTTTCTCTTTCCTTTTTCAATCACTTCTTCCCCGACCTTTTCCCTTGGAAAAAAAAGCAAGAACAGCTACAGTTAAACCCTTAGTGACTTACAACCATTCGTTTAGTTCAAAGTTAGAACGGCACTGAAAAAAGTGACTTACGACCATTTTTCACACTTACGATTGTTGCAGCATCCTCTTGGTGGTGGGATCAAAATTTGGATTCTCGGCAATTGGCATGTATTTATGACGGTTGCAATGTCCCAAGGTCGTGTAATCACCATTTGAAAAGCAAAGTCAACAGGGAAGCCAGATTCACTTAACAACCGTGTTACTGACTTAACAACTGCAGTGATTCACTAACAACTGTGGCAAGAAAGGTTGCAAAATGGAGCAAAACTCACTTAACAACTGTCTCACTTAGCAATGGAAATTTTGGGCTCAATTGTGGTCGTAAGTTGAGGACTACCTGAAGATATTACTCTTAATCTTCTCATCGTTCCTATCACCCATCTCCTCCCACTTATGACTGTATGACTGTAACCTTGTTGCTGGTATCCTTATGATTTATATTGACTGTTTCCTAATATGATTTGATTGCTTATTTGTACCCTATGACTATCATTAAGTGTTGTACCTTATGATTCTTGACAAATGTATCTTGTCTTTTTATGTACACTGAGAGCATATGCACCAGAGACAAATTCCTTGTGTGTCCAATCACACTTGGCCAATAAAGAATTCTATATTACTGCCAGTAGTGATTTTTTGAATGCTGCTGATGCATGAAAGACAAAACAACAACTACTACTATTATTTTATGAATATATTTTGTTGGAGAAGATCACCCATATAACTGAATCAAACATGTAGGGAAAATACAGTATTAAAGGACTAGCAAGAAGGGGAAGCATTAGCTCTAAATAAAGTTGAAAAAAATGAATATTCACATATAGGTAGACCTTGACTTGTGACTACCGTAGGGATCAAAATTTCCATCGCTCCACATTGTTAAGTGAATCATACCTGAATTTACAACCTTTTTTTGCCATGGTTGTTAAACAAATCACTGCATTTGTTAAATGAATCATTCAGTCATTAAACGAATCCAGCTTCCTGCATTAATTTTGCTTGTCAGAAACCAGCTAGGATGGTCACAAATGGCAAACATATGACCCTGGGACACCCCAACCATCGCAAATCCATGCCAGTTAACAAGCATCTGAATTTAATCACATGAGTGTGGGGATGTGATGGTCATACGTGCAAGAATCAGTTGTAAGTCACTTTTTAAACTGCTGTTGTAACTTCAATTAGTTACTAAACAAATGG